TGTGGCAGTTTCTAGCACTTGGGAGAGGCCATGTTTTCCATGCGGGGAAAGGCGCATAACTGTTGCGGTCTGTGTACCAATGGCAGGAGTAGGGGGCGTTGGGAGACCATCGTCCGGGGGAACGTAGTTCCTCGCGTTCTTGTCTTCGCCTTGGCCTTTCTAATAAGTGCGGCCGTTGTGATCCGCTGTGATAGCGACGTTTTTTTTGTGGTGTTAGGGTTTTTCCTTGAGGGGTTTTGCCCGGACCCCGGGTTTCCCCTCCATGTATTACCATGTTGGTATTTTCTGATGTATCCTGGAGCGTTCTTGCCCAACTGATGGTTAGTCACTTGCGTGAAGAACCAGGGAGGGTGTTCGTGGGTCTGCGAACATTGTTGTTGGATACATGTGCTGGATGATTTTGTGTCACGCAGACTGGTAAGATAACCGTTTGGTAGGGGCACCGCGATGATTCACGGGGCCCCTCCTTGCTGTGGGAGCCGCTCTTTGAGCGCTCCCTCTTTCGTCCGTGTGAAGGACGGTCGTCGACCTCTCGTGAAGTTAATACATCACCAAAACAGTCTCACCCGATAAGTACGTGGCGTAGGCCGCAAACAGATAGTTATCCACCTGCCTCCTCCCATTCAGAAGCAGGACGTTCGTTCCACGTCTATATCCCTCTTCTTTTGCGTACATGACCGGACCAATATCTCGCCAGTCGATAACAACAAAGCAACGTCAGAATTAATCAGAGGCGGACGCCACTCCAGTTTCTGTATGCATACCACCGCCACGACGTATGACGTATCTACAGTGTATACGTAATTACGACCGGTTTTCGGCAGTTCTAGCGTTCTAACTCACAGGCAGGGACACGAAGAGAACACGCAGCAGTTGCAAAGACGAAGTCTATCATACTTACTGCAAGGAATGAATCAAGTTACATTTATGCGCACGCCATGTATGTTCGGCAGCCGACAAAACAGCAATGCGCTGCCGCCGTCTCCAAGGGGGAACAAGGACTCGTCTGGGCGACGATTGTTGTCGGATTGTGCTATTTTTGCCAAAGCGAAAAACGCGGTCTGTTGGTGTTGTCTTTTGGGGGGGGACGCGTCCGGCTCTGGTATTTACCACCGTATTTGACATAAGAAACCATACCCTCCACCGAATATGACACCCAAATGGTATTTTTTGGCGTTTCTGAGAAACCATCGATTTATCGCCCGGGATACATAAGATAACACACCCTGGTGATAATTTTTGGTACGCCGCATACATTCACGGAGCCCTTCCTTCTTATCACCGGGGTGACAGCATCTGCCCCTGGGCATCACACGCAACCACAGAACATCTGCTTGCGGGGAAACACCCCGCATGGAGACCCCCCGCAACATGAACATGCAGGCAGAGCAGAATGCCGCCGCAAGTACCTCCGCTCCATCGACAACTGCTTCGACTGCAGCAGCACAGGCGCCACAGCAGATCACCTCCTTCCTTGAGCCCGCGCACACTTCTTCTACGCAAGAGGCTCCTGCTACGGCTCCTGCTCCTGGTGCTGTTGATCAAACAGCAGCAGCAGCTGGCACAGCAACAGGCGCCAACATGACAGTTGGATCTTGGGAGTGTACGATTAGTCGATCAAATGGGGAGATGCAGCATACCACGATATCCTGGCTTCGGCTGGGCTTGAATGAACCCTTTTGCTGTCCTCCGCTCTTTGCATCAGTGGCTTTCTAGGTTCGGGCGAGGGCATGTGTGGAGCTATGGTAGTGTATGTGTTGCAATTTTGTGCTGTATGGATTTGGCGTGGTATCGGTCCACGTGTGGTCTCGAAACGTGCAATTGTGGATACCGGTAGGCTGTTCTTGCGCCACCCGCACTCAAGGGTTCGTGTAATTTTTCACTTTTCTTTTTTGAGCCACACCTTCCCGGTACACATTTTACAATTGTATGTGTGTACAGCAGTATGTAGCTTTGCTTGGGCCACACATTCCCGGTATCCTTCTCATTTAAGTTGTGTCGTTGTGTGGATATTTTTCATGCACATTGTGCAAATTGATTTGTGTGTGTTTTTTTTGTGTTTTTTGTGTTTTGTGTGTAGTCTATGATTTTTGTTCCTGCATGGCGTCGTGTGTCGCGGAAATGCCGCAGCTTTGTTTGCAGCTGGCATCCATACCGCACTGACGAATTTTCAATGGTGCCTGCTTTGCACAATTTTCAATGCACTTGCAACCGCTGCGCGATATTTGGAAAATTGGAAACGGTGTTTGTCGACCAAAAATCAACCAGCATGCTTGTGAAGAAGCACCTTTTGTTTCTGCCCACACGACACATGTGTTCGTGCGTTCCAACTTTGACCGCTTCGTGCCATCCCGCACATGATTGTCTCCGTTTGTCTTCTCTAGGGTGGGCAGCACACCCGGAGCGCCGCCATCGGGAGCAGCACCGGCTCCAGCTCCAGCACCGGCGCCAGCTCCAGCAGCAGGAAAGACCAGCGGCAGCAGCAACACCGGCAGCAGGAGGAGCGCCGGTGGCTAACGATGATGCATCCGGCAACATGATGTTTCCCGGAGAGACAGAGTGGGGAGATGGGCTCGGCCGCGTTCTCTTCGGTACACCGGCACAGAACAAGGGCAAGAGAAAGAAAGGGCAGCTGGAGTTGGAGCCGCCGGACTTCGCGATCCCCGAGCTTGGTGGTGGAAGCCAAAGGAAGCGTTACCCTCTGAAGTTCAAGGTGGATGCGGTGAGGTACTCACAGAAAAGGCTCAAGGGGGCGTAAGGGCCGGGCGGGACTGTTGGGATAACCTATGCCAGCAGGATCCTGAACATTCCCGACAAGGCGACAGTGGCAGCGTGGGCCAGGGACGTCGCCAAGTACGAAGCCGCGCTTGCGGAGCAGGACACGTACAAGGGAGCAGGGAAGCGCAAGGAGAACGCCAGGAACCAACCGCCTGTCGCTGAACGTCGGACGGATCAGGACGCACACGGCGGCCGAGCGTGAGGTCATGAACTGGATCAATGAGCTGCGTTTTGAGAGCATCTCCGCCCGTGTTTCGACGAAGATGATCAAGAACAAGGCCGTCGAACTCAACCCGAACTTCTTCGGGGAGAGACCGGCGCCATCCGATCTCCAGGGCTCCCTCAAGTACAAGAACAGGCAGAACCAGTGGTCCAGAAGGTTTCTCAGGGTCTACCGCTTTTCTGTGCGAGCTATTACCCGGCAAGGCCAGAAACTTCCTTCCGGTTGGCCCTTGATCGCTATGCAGGCGACCAAGGAGTGGAGGAGGCTGAAGTACGACGTGCCTTCGCTGCTCGAAGTTGCGGATGGAGTCGAATGCCTAGGGGTTGCGGCAGGGGCGGGAGGAAGCACGAGCGACGGCGGGGTGGAAGTAGTGCTGGAGTTCCTTCGGGGCCGCGTCTCAAATTCCCCTTGGAGCAGATCGGCAACATGGATGAAACCCCTACGTGGTTCGAGAACCCGGGGCAGGACACTGTGAACGTGAGTATTAGTTATGCCCTAGTTTTCGCTCGTAGTGCGTTAGATATAGCAATCCTGTCCCTTCCTCCGTCAACGATTCTTTCGGGCCACCCTTTTTTTGATGGGCTAACTACAAGTACGTAGTTTGCGTCTTTTCCTTCGTTTCCTGTTCTCTGATTTTTTGGTACTGGTTTGTTGCAACCACTGCTGCCACTTGCCCAATCTTGACGAAAAAAAATCGTTTCTACGCACCTCACGTTGACGTCGGTTTTCGCTGCTCTACGGAATTCTGCAGGCCACGGGCGACAAGGAGATTGCCGTCAAAACCGGCGGCAAGGAGAAGATGCGCACCACTTCGGTCCTGACGGTGTTCGCCGACAGCAGCAAGCTGCCGCCCTTCCTCATCTTCAACGGACAGCCCACTCCGAAGGGGAAGTACCCCGCCGCGAACAGCATCGAGCGCGAGTTCAAGAACTACAAGGACAAGAAGGGCTACGCGTACCCCCGAGGTATGGCCTACGCCGTGGACCCGATGACACTCCCAGCGGGTGTTCGACGACGTGTGGGTGCCGCAGGTGTGGAACCGGCGCCCGGGGCGGCAGGGCCGCCTGGGCGGCTACCGTCAGCCTGACACGCTTCTGGCGTGGGACGACAAGACCGTCCACAAGACAGACGCGTCTATCAACGCGATGGAGGAGTCCAACACGACGATGTTCCTCATCCTGGGAGGCTTGACTCCAAAGCTCGAGCCGTGCGATGGCCTGGTCAACAAGATCTTCAAGGCAAACAT